GAGAGAGAGAGAGAGAGAGAGAGAGAGAGAGAGAGAGAGAGAGAGAGAAAGTCAGAGAGACAAAAAGAGAGGAGAGAAACAGACAGAGATAGAAACATACAGAGAGACAAAAAGAGAGGAAAGGGAGAGACAGGAAGAGACAGAGATGAGAGAGGGAGGGAGACAGGACAGACAAGCAACACCATATTTTTACCTTTCCTTCTGAGCTGTAGTCGTGAAAGCTTTCTGCATCAAATGCTCGTCTCTTTCTTCCTAAAGTTTGTTTTTATTTTCAATTATGTGCATGTGTCTATCCTTAGGTCTGCGGCAGTAAGTGCAAAGTTGGGTCCTCCCAGGAGCGGCACGCTCTTACTGACTGAGATAAGTCAAATCCCGTTTCCGTGGCGGGGTTTATTAGACACCATGAGCACAGAGAGTAAAAGTTAAACAGGAGCTGTCTCTCACAGGAACCAAGAAGCAAACAGAGAACTGGTACCAATCCCATGCCTGCTTCGCTGCGTGGCCATGGTCCCCGATGTATCAAATGAGGTCGCATCTACCTACATCAATGGAGATAAAGAAATTGACCCCGTAAGCAATTCCATCTTTATTTCCTTATACTCTGATAAGTTGGATTTTGATGTCACTTCTTAGATACTTTTTGTTGTTGTTGTTGTTTTGTTTTTTTCTAAATAAAGCTGTAAACAGAGGAGAAAAAAAGATTCAGTCCTGGAGCTGGGAGCTTAGTGTACTTGCATTAGCAGGTGTGAGGCCCTGGGTTGAATCCCCAACATCATAAAACGTCAACAAATGTGATCTCCAATCTGCCTGGTACCCGAGCCCATATTTGTTCTGTACCTTGGGCTTCCCTTACAGCATAAGAGAATGTTCACTGCTCTGAAAGGAACTTAGTATCACTTGCAATTCGTTTCCGCTTTCCAAATCAAAAGCCATCGAGTAAAAACCTTTTCTCAAGAGTGGAACAGAAATATTTATGCTAAGGGCAAGCATTAGTAAAGTCGAATGAGATGCGGAATTCTGGCTCGATGGAATTCTCCGGGGCCTAGGTAATATAGGTTAAAAATAACAATATATAAAAGGTCCTGTTATATACAGTTTAAAACAAGGCTATGTAAAATGGACATGCTTATTGCTTACGATGTTGATACATCCTCCGGCTGAGGTGAGATGCCAGGGGAAGCAAGTCTCTTTTCATGCAAGCTGTTGCTGGCAGCGAGGCCAGTGGAAATCAGCACAATCAGGCTACCTAGTAAATCGGTGAGAGTTCCAAGTAACACGAACAAAGGAATCAGGTTCTAAGCTATAGATGCCATCAGTTTTTTTTTCTACCCTGCCATGGTCAGGCCACTGTTGGTGCTGAGCTTCAGAGGCAACCTTTTTGAAATCTGTTTTGGCAACTGGGGAAGTGTCAGAAGTGTGTCAGGCCAGTTGGTTAAGACTCAGCCAGGCCTCCAGAGCTGGTGGTGCAGTTGTTCCTTACACTGTAGGCTGGGGGAGACGTAATGGGAAGAGCCTTGCACCTGCACTCTGATGGTCTCGGGAGGGCTTGGTCAGATTCCCGCCTATGGACGCAGAGACGGAGCAGAATCCTTACATCAGCACTTCCCCACCCATTGTGAGAGCCAAAGTTACAGACACAAAGCTTTCATTACTGTGCCTAAGAAATCCGTGAAACAGAAGTGCCTCTGATCTGCAAGCCCCTTGCCCAAGGACAGACAGTTCCAGAAATGCTGGAGGCTTTTGTTAGTGGGAGATAACTAACTAGTCACGTGTTTTTCACCCCCTCCCCAAACAAGTTTGTTTGACCCATCTACACCAGACAGTCTTGATTGCATGTGGGTGGGAGGATCACAGTCAGAAAATACGTCAGAATATATGCTTGCCCCAATTGGTCCTGATGGAAAATGCTATGAATTATGGGTTCTCCTTCTTAAGCCTCTGCAAACCCGAATTCTGGGGCATTTCCCTGGGAACCTGTGTATGAACCTGGCCAGAGCCCATCCACCTGACCAATATTTAATTAAAGCTTGCTTCAAATTTGGCTTTAAACTATGGTAGTGGTCTCATTCTTGATCAGTGGGATTAACACCCATTGGATCCTAATCCTTTTGGGGTCACATATTAGATATTTACATTATGATTCATAACAGTAGCAAAATTACAGTTATGATTTAGCAACAAAAATAATTTTATGTTTGGGAGTCACCCCAGCATGAAGAACTGTATGAGAGAGCCACAGTACTAGGAAGGTTGAGAACCACTGTCTTACAGCCATAGTAGGGACCGATCATCAAACCCGTGTCCTGATTGGAGGGTTGATGGAGTTGGTGGACTGATGGCATAGATAACAGAATCTTCCACATATGTCTTGTGCTAAGCTGGATGCTGGGAATACAGTACCAGTCAAGATAGGCACTGGCCTTGCCTTATCGAGCCTTCAGTCTTGGGGGGTACAGCCTCAGGATGGAAGGAAGGCACATGATGTATTACAGAGGAAAGAGGACCAGTGAGCTGGCTCAGGAGGGAGGACCTGCTGCCATGCCTGACCAGCTGACCTGGATCCCCAAGATGCATGTGGTGGGAAGAGATCGCAGACACCGGTAAATTGTCCTCTGATTTTTACATCTGCACTGTAGTTTATGACAGACAGACGGACACAGAGACACAGAGAGACAGACACAGAGAAAATAAAATACATAAACAGATGTGATAATAATAGTTTTTTTTTTTTAAGAAAAAAAAAACCACCCAGAGGAAGGAGCAAAACGCCGAGGAGGCCATGAGAAAGCATTTTCACAGGGGTGAGGACCGGGTGGGTGAGGCAGAAGGAACAATTCCCAGACGATCATTGTCCAGTCTGAGACCCGAACAGTGCTAAGAAGGGAAAATTCCTCAGACCAATTAAATTTAGTAGAGTTTACTTGAGCAAAACAAAACAAAGTAATTCGCAAAACATGCAGCTCCTGGAACTAAAAGAACATTCTGTGAATTCCCACCAAAGCATGGGCTGACAGCCTTCGTCTAAAAGCGGCATGGAGACCTGAACTGGGAGCAGCTTAATTAGATAAGTGGTTTCAGGGCAGTCTGCAATTACCCGGAGCTTAGCTACTGTCATTAAAGACTGCCTTGCTTTGGTCTGCTGAGGACAGTGTAGGAGCCTTGTCCACACCAATGGCCGCCTGCAAATTTTAACAGTAGCCAGTAGGTATTATTTGGATAAGGGGCACAAGGGGAAGAGGATTTTCTCATGGGAACCATCTGCCTCCTCATGCACAAAAGTACCTGTGAATTGCTACACATCTGCAAACTTTTCAGCACACAGAGGGAAGCTGTCTCTGTGGCTACCTAACAAGAGTCCAGTGTTACGATTTGGGAGCCACCATGGTGTTAGCTCAAGAGTTCTACCCCGGGATGGGCTCAGTCAGCTGTTTATCCTTTTGATCGGTCCGGTCTCACCTATGAAGTTGCTAGCATGTGTGGGGCTGGTCCAGGTGGTCTCAAGTTTCTGGTCATTGGTGCTGGGATTCTCTGGTACCTTGGCTATTTCCTACCCATGTTCTCAGCCTTAACTGGGGTAGAAAGAAAAAAAAATCTTTGTCTTGTGGTCTCCCTCCAGCATTTTAATATGCAGATATCTGGGGAGTCTGGGTGTAGAATGAACAACCTAACTTTCGATTAAATAGTTTCCATTGTTGAAGGCAAGTCTGTTGCTAGCCCAGGTCTGACCAAATATGAGTTCTACTCCAACTTGCAGTGATATTAGTGATACGCTCTGGAAAATCTCATGAGCATCTCATTTAAACTACCGCTCTTTTTCTTCTGGGGAAAACAAAAAATAAGTAACGGCTCCCCGTCCCCCTAAAAATTATAGTAAATTCAAGGTGACTCCAAAAATAAAAATTTGAGGGACAAAGACGATTGGGGGAATGGAAGAAAGGGGTGACGATATCTTCAGGAGAGGAGGTGGGAGAACATAACTAGCCTCCTCAGAGACGTTCTCAAAGAGTGGTATCAGGGAATCAGAGAAGATATCATGGCGTGGCAGGAAAAATGCGCTGACACGTGTGCCGTCCTCTGCCCACAATTTACTTGGCTGTCTCAGAGGTGAGAACTAGTATTTACACATCAGATCACGAAAGGCCCTGTGTGATAAAGATGAATCCAGCATGAAAATATTTATAGCAAGGTCTGAAGTGTCATTTCAAGAGGTCCTCCAGGACATAAACCCAGACTTTCTTCCTTCCCATGAGTCTGGTCACCACCATGATTACGGTACTTGCTGGGTCCCTGGTTCCATCATCTCTGCATCCTGGTTCAGCATGTCCTTCAGAGTAGAGGAGAGACTGCGGCCGCAAACTGATAGTCTGCCAAGACGGTGTGTGGCTTCATTGTGAACACCGAAGTGAGTGACCCCACGGAGCAGTAGGGTGCATTGGAACGTGTGACTCATGACGTGGACTTGAGCCTGTGAAGGCGGAAGCCATCAAAGCTCACCCCTGCTACCGCGGCCAGTTAGGTTTCCGTAGAATTTTTTTTTTTTCTTCTCCTACTTATCTTCAACCATTAGGCAAAGGATGTTTTACTACTGAAGAGCCCAGAGAGACAAAACTTACACAGCAATCAACATTTTGCCCAAGCCAAGGATGAAGAGCTTTAAGCTACCCTAAGGTCATTTGATAGTCAAATGGTCTAAACCTCTGGGGCGGGATCGCAAAACTCACTCACACTTTGGGTTGCTCTGTGGTTAGAAACCAAACAGGGCTTCAAAAGGGAAAGACTCCCTCCAGCAAACCCCCCCTGTTTCTTTTGAGGTACGCTGGCAACCCCCTAGCTTTTATGCTCAGACGATTTTGAAAATCAAGTAGAGGCACATCCCCCCGGGCAAGGATGGGTCTGACAAGCGCCGGCTGCTCCCTAACTGCACCCCTTTGTTTGGTGCTTCCCTCCCCCACCCCTCAAACTGAGGAAGCGGCAGCAGAACACAGATCAAGAATCCAGCAGTTCTGCAAAGTGATTAGCTGGGGTTGAATGTCATTCAGCTTTAATGCTGGCACAAGGTTCTCTTTTGTTTTGCTCTGAGGACGAGTGCAGGCTTTCAGAGGTGGTAGGAGTGAAGACTTGTTGACTCAAAGCATTTCTGCTAGGTTAGCCTGGACTCTGCAGAATGACATACCCCCTCAGCCTCAGGTTGCCTGTGTTTTGGTAAGATAGGAAGGGATCCCCTCTGGGACGGGCAGGCCTGGGGCTAATTATACCGCAGGGTGAATTCATCACGAAATCTTTCACTAACAAAGACAAATTACCTCATACCTTTTACAAGACCCTAAAAAAATTAGGTGAGTGAATCTGTTGTCCAGCCAGCGCAGGAACCCAGACAGCAGATGGCACTCCTCCAAGATGACTCCTTTCTCGAAGCGGGTTTGCGTAGACCAAGATGAGACAGGCAGCCCTTATCATCACCTGGCTTAGGAGATCTTTCACAGACTACAGTCTGCTTTGATCCTCACGGCAGTCAGTTTGGAGAACAGTGTTGTTAGTACCTGCATTTGTGAACAAGGAGACTGTGGCCTGGACAGATTCCCATAGAAGAAGCCCAAATAGTTTGGGTGTAGAAGGACAAACAGGTCTTCGGTCTAGATTCCTGGCTACCACTCTTTTCAGCTGGATGTGGGATTTGGTCCCTTTGTTTTATAGGGATGATCGTCCTCAGCTCATTGGCTCCTGACCGCAGAGGAGAATCACTGACGCCGAAGCTCACAGGTGCATCATGCCTCTCCCAAAGGGCTGTTTTACCCACTGGGATTCCTTGTACCCAAACTCCTATCTGCTTAAGTCAATAGATAAAAGATCCAGGTTAGTCTTTCTGGGGTCGTCTTTTCTGATCTGTAAGATATGGGCAATTACAACAGCTACCCCAACTGATGATAGGTCATTGTTACCGCTGAAAAACGGTAGAAGCCAACAATAAGCACAGACATGGGGGTGATGATGTTAACGAAGACTGTCTTGCTGATGATAATCCCTAGACTCTCATAACATGTGCAGCTCGGAGCTGAAGTCCAATCCCATGCCTTCTAAGGCTAACTTGTCACCGGCTTTTCCTATTGTGAGACAGAAATGTAGAATCTAAGACAAGGATGGTAAGCAATTTGAAATCCCAAGAGATGGGGTTTCTGTGGTGCCGGGACAGACTTCGGAAAGACAATGGAAGTGTGGGAGGGCTGAGCTAATGCCTTCCGAATGGTGGGGATGGGCTTTGATGGAAGTCGCTGGGAGAGGCTGGCCTTACTAATGTGTGCACCGTGTGTGCGGCTGTGGGGCTGAGCTGTGGAGTGGCTGGATCTGAGTTGTGAACGGAAGTCATGCCTTCAGATCCAGTTTGGCAGAAGTGACTCTGCCGTGGTGACCAGGAACCCTCAATACCCCTCTGTTCATTCCTTTGTCATTGTGACCTCTCTTGGGACAAGCACTGGGACCGATCTCAGTAGTAGCAGCAAGCCTCCCGTGTCATTACACTACTCCATTTGCCCCATGTTTTAGGGTTTTTTGTTTGTTTGTTTGTTTTATTGTTGTGATGATGATGGTTTTGTTTTTGAGATAGGGTCTTGTCATGTATTCCTGAAGGGGATGACACTTTTTTTAATGTAGTCTGTGCTGGCCAACGCAAATAAAAATATTCCTGCCTCAGTCTCCTGTTGGACTGGCTTAATTTTTTTTTCTTCAAAAGATTTCATGTGTGTGCATGTGTGTGCTATGTATGTGTGTATGTATATGTTGTGTGTAAGTATGTATGTATGTATGTGTATATAAATGCAGATGTGTGTGCAGGCATCCACAGAGGCCGGAAAAAGGCATCATGTCCCCTGGAGACATACATCTCCATACATCTTTGAGCTTCCCAATGTGATGTTGCCATCTGAACTCTGGTCGTCTGATAGATCGGTAAGCTTTGTAAACTGCTGGGTCATCTCTCCAACTCTTCCATTTATTCTTTATTGGAGCGCTACCTCTTGACCAAGGCGCTACTCTAGCAGGACCTCAGTTTTCATCTGTAAACAGGGAGAAGAGTGTCTCCTTGGGCTTATGACTGAGCCCATAGAAGAAAACACAGGTAAAGCAACAAACCGTCCCAAGTCTTTCCACTGATTGACAAGTGTATTAGAGAGAGAGCGTTAGGGCTCTGACTGAGAGATGGGAGGGGGGATCTGCCTTTCTGGCTATTGACTGAAGGTTTGGGTCTGAGTCCTGGTTCCTCACTGGTAAGTTCTATGACCTAAAAGATGTCACTCCTCTGACCCCTTTCCTCACATGATTTTGGAAATGGCCGATACTTAAACATTATGTTATAAGAAACATTAGTCTATGTCCTTGTCATTTGAATAAAAGAGGGTCAAGCCTGGGAAAATCTGTGTCTTCTCTTTGCTCTTGAAAATCCCCAACGTACATCACCACTATGTCAGTAAAGTCCCCAAGATGTCCTGCACCGATGTCCTTTTATGTTTGACATAATGGACACCATACTTGTCCGTTTGGCCATCGACTCTCTTTCCTTCCATAGCTGTGACTCACCTTCTAGTGAATTGTTCCTCAGAACAAGCTGATCTCCCGAGGGTCTTTTCAACTTTGATGTTTTTCTCTCTACCTCATTACCCATATCTCGTGTTTCCATAGCTAAGTACAGCATCAGACGTGAGAAAAGAGACAGCCAGCAACAGCAGCTGCCTCTTCAGTACTAGTAAGGAAGGCTAGGCAACCACCAGATCTAGAGTTCCCCAGAGCCATGAGGGGAAGACACGCATGTACCAGGACGTGTGCGCTGGTGACATTAGTGTAAAATCTAGAGCTGTGTTTTCGGCATTTTTATTGCAGCCCGTGCCGTTCCCACCCCAATTCCCTGGGCAGCCTGTGCTTTTAGAATCCTATCCCCTTTTTCTCACCCAAATGGAAATAAAAACTTGGAACCAGAAGCTTTTCATTGCCTCCGAGTAGCCGAGCCAAATAAGAGCAGCGGACTGGAAACCAGAAAGTCTGGACTCAAATTCTTCCTGTGCTGTGAACTTGACCTTGATTTGCTGGGAGTCACCTGTCCCATCAAACCTCGCGCCGTTCGTTTCTTCATCTAGAAAGGAAAGGGGTTGAACCCCCGAGCTTCTGTGCTCCCCTCCAGTGTGGCACATGGTTTCTCTCTAGAGAAATGGCCATGCAGATCCAGCTTTGCCTCTGCAGCTGTCCCACAGTTTGTCACCGAGTCCCCTGTAGTAGCCGCCTGGTCCTACATGGTTTGCATTAGAGATTTCATCCCAATAAACACACTAGCAGGGGGTGGGAACGGCTCAAGCCCATCTGGCTCTGTAAAGGGAGCTGGACCTCACCCCTTGAGTGGCATTGCCCACAATGATGTAACCCTCATTTTTTTTTTTTTTTTGGAAAAGATTTTCTTCAACTATTGGGACAGTCTGTGCCCACCAGATCAGTGGCTTGGATTGTAGTGATTTGGCTGGTTTTTTTTCTTTCTTCTTTTATTTTATAATAAAAGAAATGTCATTGACACAAACCCTAATTCAAGTTATGTGAAGGATTTTATTGAAATCCGCAAAGTCAATGAGAACCAGACCTGGGCCGGCAAATAAGGCCAGACACAATGGCTTAGATTAGGGTACCAGAATCAGCTTCAATTCTGAGGTTAGAGATTGTTCTTTCTTTTGTGGCTCTGTCAGGCCCTTAACATCACTTAAGCCTAACTGATTCAGGGGAATTGAAAGCTGTGAATGTGCGCCCTGCCTGGTGTTTCTTTGAAAGTGTGCTCACATTCCTTAAGCTATGGAGCGCAGGGAATCTCTCAGAAAAGGCCTTAAGCACTGATTTTTGAGGTTGTTTTTCAGTATCCCTTCCCGGTTCCCAAAGGCTGTCCTCTAATTAAGACCCGAGAACCTTACCTGCATCATCTTAGAGCCTTTGGGGTTAAGCTCCATCACTTTCAGGTAGAATAGACTCAAAGATGGGGTGTATCTCAAAGATTTTTTTTTACCATTGTAATACTTAGGGCCAGACTTTCTAGCTAAGTGTTCTTTTCCATAAAATAGGACAACAATTTCCCACCATACCTCTCCCCAGGTCTGCTCTTCTGGGATACACCTCCGTATCCTCCAGTTTGCTGGGTAATGTGTGGAGATGATTGTCACTTTCTCCATTTCCACCATGTCCTTTGGTGATGTCTTCGGCCTCTTTCCCCATCCTCTCTCAGATAGGGTCTAGCTAGGACAGGATAGCTTAGACTCATGATCCTCCTGCCCCAGATTTCTGAGTTCTAAGGTTTCGGGCATATTCCACTGTACCTGGAAACTTTCTTCTGTGGCTTGGTGTCTTGGTGTAGCCATCCTTCCAGACCCAATCAGGTCTTTTCTCCTTAGATAGTGTCTCTTGACATTCCAGGTTAGCGATCTTCGAAGATCATGTTTCATAAAAGAATATCTAAAATCCCTACTCTCATGATGCTTAGAGATGTAATTATGATTGTGTGTTTCTAGTTTCCCCTCCATATAGTATTAATATCAGAATTAGTGAATGTGCTCGAAAATATATCTTATTTCAATATGCCAGTAGTTAAAAGGAAGAAAGGAAACAAGGAGGAAGGAAGGAAGGAAGGAAGGAGGCAGGGAGGGAGGGACAGAGGAAAGGAGGGAGGGAGAAATGCTCGTCCCAGTGAGTCATAGGAAGAAGAAATGCACATAGAGAAAGACGTACAGAAATCTCTAATATGAGCTGGTCCACTTTAGACATTTTACCTCATTTCTCCAGATTCAGATGATGTATATGGTAGCAATGTATTTTGAACTGAAACTCCAAGTGTCTAAGTAAGCCACCATGTCACTTGGATCCTTTGGAAGCAGGCACTGCTATGGGGTTAGTAATGTGGATGATTCCCAGGGGAGATGCTTCTGAAAGATAGCATTTCCTGCAGGGAAATCCTTCAGGCTGCAGCATGGGTCAGGAGTGGGCAGAGGAAGCCAAAGGCTATGATTCGGATCTGATTTAGTATCGGCTGATTCGCCAGGGACATTGGGGAAAAGAACCATCCATTACAGATGCCCCACGCTGGGATGGATTTGTCCCACTCCAGTGTCCCTGTCATGTTCAGAAGCCGAGTTAAGTACTGAAAAACACCAAATCTAAAAGTTCTCAGGTGCCCGGATGCCTTGCCAAATTTGACTTGATGTTTCCACAAAGCCAGGACTTGAAAATGGGACACTCTGACCGTTTCTGGATCTTAAGGAGCCTGGCACACATTTCAAAATAAAGTTTCAAAGATACAAAGCTTGACTAAGATCAGATTGATATCGATATAAATAGGACTGTAAATTTTAGTGCCATATATACGACAAGATGCAGGATGACTTTTTGGTTCACAATCATGCACCCATTACTCTGTTTCCCCTCTCTCAGAATTATCTTGGCAGGACCTACTGGGATCATATAATGCACAAAATAATTAGAAGTTATTAAAACCCCCAAATGATTGAGCCTACTGATTAAGCAACTGTACAGACGTCCAAGTCACTTAACAGGCTAGAATGGTTGCCAAGTGTTGTAAGCTTGGGCTGGAAGGCGAGGGATTTATACAAACAGGATTTCTTCTCAGGCTTCCTCTACCAGGGCTTGATCTGTGCCAAGTCCTGATTAACGATGACTTCATTCTAGACATCCTGGGACCTCAGCCTTTAAGTCACATTCACTTGAGTACCATCAAGTGGGTAGCATGGGATCCAACAGTGTAGACTCTTGGGGTATTTATAACAAAACTGTAAAGCCTCTTCTAATTCCTCCTCCTCCTCCTCCTCCTTCCTCTCTCTCTCTCTCTCTCTCTCTCTCTCTCTCTCTCTCTCTCCCCGTTATTGTTATTTTGTTTTATTTTTCAAGACTGTTTCTCTGTGTAGTCTTGGCTGCTGTGGCACTCACTCTGTAGACCAGGCTGGCCTCAAACTAGGAGATCTACCTGCCTCTGCCTCCTGAGTGCTGGGACTAACAGCATGTGCCACCATGCCCGACTTCAGCCTGCTCAAGGGTAGCACCACCAATAATGACATGGTCTCTCTCACATCAACCATTCATCACGAAAATGCCCCACAGGCTTGCCTACGGGCCAGTCTTATGAAGGCTTTTTCTTAACTGAGGTTTCTCTTCCCAGATGACTCTAGGTTTGTGTGAATTGACAACACCAAGCAGCATAGATACCATAAACTTTCTTGGATATGCATATAATAGAATTAACTGTCTTGTCTACTTGCCCAAAGCACTCTGCAATGCTATTATGTAATATAAGAATTTGCACCTCATTATAAAACAGAGTCTCCATCGTGAGACGTGGGAGAGAAAGGGCTACATCATTTCCAGGGTTTCCAAGACCAAGTTAAATATTGGCAAATATAGGAACTTGTGGGACACATCAATGAATTAACTTTAGCTCCTTCCATCTTGTCATTGTTAACTTTCTTTCAAGGGTCAACATTAATACTAATGTAGAGTACAAATCATGTCTTTAGAAAAAAAAAAAGAGAGAAGAGGGGATGACTACCAAGGGTTTTTTTTTTTTATTTTAAATGCTTGTATTTTTTTTAACAAAAACCTATCACTCTATATAACTTTTAATAGAAAGCAGCTTCTGGGTGCTGGAGAGATGGCTCAGCAGC